TTCAAAGTGATGAACAGCAAGAACCTACAACCAAGATTACTTTATCCAGCAAAGCTATCATTCAGAATTGAAGGTCAGATAAAGAGCTTCACAGATAAGAAAAAGCTAAAGGAGTTCATCACCACCAAACCAGTATTATATGAAATGCTGAGAGGTATCCTTTAAGAAGAGGAAGAAGAAGAAAAAGGTAAAAATACAAATTATGAACAACAAATACACATCTATCAACAAGTGAATCTAAAAATCAAGTGAATAAATAATCTGATGAACAGAATGAACTGGTGATTATAATAGAATCAGGGACATAGAAAGGGAGTGGACTGACTATTCTTGGGGGGGAAAGGGGAATGGGAGATGCGGGAAGAGACTGGACAAAAATCGTGCACCTATGGATGAGGACAGGGGGTGGGGAGTGAGGGCGGAGGGAGGAGTGGGAACTGGGAGGAGGGGAGTTATGGTGGGAAAAAAGAGGAACCAATGTAATAATCTGAACAATAAAGATTTAATTAAAAAATAATAAAAAAAGACAATTAAAAGATGACCAAGAAAAAAAAAAGATTTTTGCTCATTTTGTTTCATTAGTTGGTCCTCAGAACATTTCCCAGCATGTAGCACACATAATAGTTATACGTTGAATGAAGGGAATAAATTGACGTTACACAAACATTCACAGCGCAGCTTCCTGCCACAGCTGTGTTCCACCAGATGCCTTGTTTATTAACAAAAGATGGGGCCTAATCTCACTTTCTTCGCAATGAGTTTCCTGATAACAAAAGACCAACAATATTGGGGCGGGAGCATGCTGTCGTTCTCTTTCTGAACTTTTAACCAGAACATATTCTCCCTTCAAAACAGAATAGTGTTTGAAGACAGGAAGTTTGTGAACTTGAAGTTGATAAAAATATGTAGCGTAATGAGAGATATTCAGAAGAACCCAACAACATAGGAGTGAAGCTATAAACCTATGTCGATAGATAGACAGAACATTATTCCTCATGCTCCCCACAGTGAGCCTGACCACCCTCGCCCCATTAGCCCATTACTGAGGTGTGAGCAGCGGCAGAACCTCTAACCCGTGTGGCACCCACAGGAGGGCGGGGAACCCATTCTCTGTAATCACCAGCTGCTCCACGCTTCCAGTCCTCCCGCTGGGAAGGGACAGTGCTCCCAGCAAGTGCGGCTGCTCCACACTGCCAGTCCTCCTGCTGGGAAGGGACAGTGCTCCCAGCAAGTGGTGCCCGGCGGGAGCCACCTGCCGAATGGATGTTGGCCTCTTTCCTACACAACGTAAGAAACCAACAAAGCGACACCCAGGTGACGCCTGTGCACCCAGAACATGGTTTTGTGAACAGGCACAGACGTTTTCTCGGTACGTGGTGCTGGAATGGCTGGTAACCGAGCCTCCACTGCAGCTGCCGGCTGTGCTGGTCTCTCTGGGAGCCGCGTCCCCCGCACTGGCCGCCCGTCAGCTCCCTCGCCACACGCACACCTTTCCCAGGTGGTTCCCAGGATGGGGCATCGCCTGCATCACCAGAACTTGCTGGAAAAGAATGTTCTCAGGCCCCAGACCCACAGAGTCAGACGCTTAGGTGCTGCTTGCAGCTGGTGTGTCCGCGGGGGAGCTGAGGATGTCACGTCGGGAACCGGCTCCCTTGCGCAGCGGTCACCGTTTTGCCAAACATTGTGATGGACACAGGCCTCGGAGAAGCAGGTGCAGATCTGGGGCCGCGAGTTTGACCCCGGCACCAGGAATTCCTACGGCTCAGCACCTCCCTCAGGCATCTGTCCTTCAGGTGAGCGAGCAGGAGCACGGGCCTGCCCCCCTCAGCCACTCGGTGACAGTGACATTCACCTCCGAACTCCGCGCACCTGCCTGCTCCTCTTCGCTGTTCCCGCCTTGAACCCTCCTGGTGCCCGGCTTCCTGGCAGCAGCTGCCCCACGGGTCCCGCAGGTCGCTCTGTCATCTCTCTGATGGTTCAGAGGGGCTGGCACCCTGAGCTACTGGGGACAACACCCTCATCCCTGTTTCACTCTGTGATTATGTTTTGGGCTCCTTTAAAATGTTCTTTTCAAATTAAATTTACCTAAAAGAGTGTCATGCTGCCTGCGCACCCCACGCTCGCCAGCAGAGCCGTGACCAGGAGCAACAGCCCAGCACAGATGGCCTCTGTCCTGTCTGCTGCTGGCGCTGACGACCTGTGTCCCTCCCAGACAGAGGGCAGCGTGTCCAGAAACCAAGTCCTGTCCCTCCTGAGTCCTGGGCGGAGGCCTGGCTCTGTGCGCTGGTGGAGGTGGGGGGGGTGAGCCAGCTTCACTGATGCGGCCTTTCCTGCAGTGGGGGTGAGGTGGGGGCACGGCATGGACCGCGCTAGGGACTGTCTCCATTGGCTTGTTACAGAAAACTGGAGAAGAACCAAGCAACGCTTAGAGAGATGGAGTTACATGTATTATTCCGCGAGGGCCCAGAGGAAAATGTCTCTAGAATTCTGGGCGAAGTCACACAGGAAGTTTCCTGTATTTATACCATTTTACCTTCTTTGTCTCCCAAATATGGGGTTTTCTGGTCCCCTTTGCAAGTTCTTAAAGAGCCCTATGTGCTGGGGCTTTGAGACCTCAACCAAAGGCTTGGCCTGGTGCCAGCACTGATAACTTCATCGGGGAAGGTTTAATGGCCTCTCTGGAATGGGAGTAATCTTATTTTCCTTATTATTTAAGCCAGCAAGCATGTACAGAAGCCAGAATGCAGGGTTAAAATGTCAACAGCAGTTTTTATATAAGATGGTGCTTCAGGCTGGCGGTGTCAGCTTGATGCCCTTGTGGCCCGTGGCAGCTTCCCTCCAAGGGGAGACACGCCCAGGATTTGAAACCTCCCTGGAAGGCTGTTGCAGGCCCAGGGCACGCGGCCTGTGGCACGGGAACAACCGAACCCCAGGAGCGGCTGCTCAGCACATTTCCAAGGGCAGCAGGCCCCTGACCCTACGGGGGCTGAGTTTTGAGAACTGAGCTCGGGGCTGTGGCAGGACAGTCTGGCCACCACCGAGGGATGTTTACTGGGCTCCTTGGAGAAGGTCCCTGGGCTGAGGCTCAGATGGACCGCCGCCTCCTCAGTCCCCACACCAGCCTCTGAATTTGGCCCATTGAATGGGATTTGTCTGAACAGCCAGAATGCTTCCAAAATTTGTCCTGTGTTCCAAAAATAGATGAACGTCAACTCAGACAAAATAGCAAACAAGCAAACCGCTGAGTGTCCGCCACGTCCCTGACTCCTGGAATCTGCTGGATGTAGATGAGGTGAAGCCGATGTGCTCAGTGGTTAGAGTGTCAGCCTGTGCACCTAAGAGTCTCAGGTTTGACTCCCCCTCAAGGGCACATACCTGGATTGCCAGTTTGCTCCGCCCTGGTTTCAGGCATGTGCGGGAGGCAGCCAGTCCATGTGTCTCTCACATCCATGTTTCTTTCTGTAGCTCTGCCTTTCTCCCTCCCTTCCCCCTCCCTCCCTTCCATTGTCTCTGAAAAGCAATGGAAAAAATATCCTCTGGTGAGGATAACAAAAAATAATAATAAAAATGGATTAAAGAGTTAAATGTTAGACTCAAAACTATAAAAATCCTAGAAGAAAACATAGGCAGTAATATCCCAGACATTTCTCTTAGCAATATTTTCTTCTGATACATTTCCTCAGGCAAGGGAAACAAACAAACAAACAAAATAAGTGGGACTACATCAAACAAAATTTTTTTGCACAGCAAAGGAAACCATCAACAAAATGAAAAGACAACCTATTGAATGGGAGGACATGTTTGCCAATGATGGGGGTTAATATCCAAAATTTACAAAGAACTTATAAAACTCAACACCAGGAAGACAAAAAATCCAATTTAAAAATGGGCAAAGCCCTGGCTGATGTGGCTCAGTGGGTTGGGCATCGCCCCATGTACCGAAAGGTTGCCAGTTCGATTCCTGGTCAGGGCACGTGCCTGCGTTGTTTTTCTCTCTTTCTCCCTCTCCCATTATCTCTCTCTTTCTATTGGCCATACAGATGCCAATAGACATGAAAAGATGCTCAAAGTCACTGATCAGCAGAGAAATGCAAATTAAAACCACAATGAGGTATTACCTCACACCTGCCAGGATGGCTGCCATCAGCAAATCAACAAATGACAAGTGGTGGCGAGGATGTGGAGAGAAGGGAGCCTCATGCCCTGCGGGAGGGAGTGCCCCGTGGAGAGCAGCATGGAGTTCCCTCACAAAATTAAAGATGGCTCTGCCTTATGACCCAGGGACCCCACTCCTGGGGATACAGCGGAAGAAACCCGAAACACCCAGAAAGGATGTGTGCACCTTTATGTTCATTGCAGTGTTATTTACAACAACTAAGATGGGGAAACAGCCCCAGTACCCATCTGTAGGCGAGTGGATAAAAGCTGTGGCACATTTACACCATGGAATACTATGCAGCTGTGAAAAAGGAGGAAATCTTACCTTTTGAGAAAGCATGGAGGGACCTAGAAAATATTATGCTAAGTGAAATAAGCCAGTCAGAGAAAAAAAAATACAATATGATTTCATTTATATGGGCTATCAAATGAACAAAATAAACAAACAAAATAGAAACACACTCATTGATACCGAGAACACTGACAGCTGTCAGGGGGGGAAGGGGTAGGGAGGCTGGGTGAAAAGGGTAAAGGGATTAAGCAAAGAAAAAAACTCAAAGACACAGACAACAGTATGGTGATTACCAGAGGGCAAGGGAGGTTGGGGGAGGTAGGAGAGAGAAAAGGGTGGATAAATGGTGATGGAAGAAGGAAACTTGACTTGGGGTGGTGAACACACAATACAATGTACAGGTGATGTATGTAGAACTGTACCCCTGAAACTTATATAATTTTATTAACCAATGTCACCCCAATACATTTAATAAAAAAATAAATTAGAATACATAAATTAAATTAATTAATTAAATGTTTTAAAAAAGAAAGTGCTTGAGACCTTTCTGAGCTTTCTTTTTAGGAGTGTATTATGGGTGGAAAGTCTGTCCAAATCCAATGACCCAACAAAACTTCGGTAAGTTTTTGAGAAGAGCTGACCACCTCTCGCTGAGCCCTGCTTCTCAGGCTGCAACAGCAAATGCCTTACAGATTATAATCTAGTTTGAAAAGATTCTAATTTTAGTGAAATAAATCTATTTCTTCAGAAACCAGAGCTTTGGCTTGAAGGCATCTTGGCCCATCTCTGTTTTGCTCTGGCCTTAGAATTGTTGGCTCGGCTGCTTTTGTGACGAGCCATGAGTGTAGGGACAGAGCTGCACTCGGTCTCCGCAGGTGCCGGGTGACAGGGACCGCGGCTTTGTTCTAGTGTAAACAAGGAGCAGAGAGGCTCCTTCTGGTTCTTGAGCCTGAACGTGCACATTCCGAGCTGCCCTGGGAGACCCACCCAGGCGGGGGACGGCACATTCCGAAGCAAGTGAGTAGCGGAAAGAGTGTCTTTATCAAGTCTCACAAATGTTGACAATTAGCCACACCAGTCCCTGGGCCCCTGCCTTCATGTGACAGTGTGGCCACTTTCAGGGACCCACGGCTCATTTCAGATGGGCCCAGAGCACAGCTGTGGGCAGATATGGCTTCGTTCAGGTTTTCTCCCCGCCTTTAACTTCTCCAAATAATTATTAAGCATATTGTGCCACTGTACATTTTTGCAAGCTTTATATTTTTATAAAACACTGCCACATCTGTTACACATTAGTATTTAAAAAATATTGAACTGACAGTATTTTAAAGAATTCTTCTGTTTGCCCTGACCAGTTTGGCTCAGCGGATAGAGCGTCGGCCTGCGGACTCAAGGGTCCCAGGTTCGATTCCGGTCAAGGGCATGTACCTTGGTCGTGGGCATCCCCAGTAGGGGGCGTACAAGAGGCAGCTGATCAATGTTTCTCTCATCGATGTTTCTAACTCTCTATCCCTCTCCCCTCCTCTCTGGAAAAAATCCATAAAATATATTTTAAAAAATTCTTCTGTTTGATAAAGACTGTCTGTGCCTGGCCTGTGGCTCTGTGGGTGAGCGCTGACCCATGCACCAAGAGGTTGCCAGTTCAATTCCAGGCCCGGGTTGCAGGCTCCATCCCCAGTGGGGGCAGGAGGCAGCCAATAGATGTTTCTGTCATCGATGTTTCTATCTCTCTCTCCCTCTCCATTTCTCTCTCTGAAAAATCAATAAAAACAAATTAAAAATAATGATTATTGTCTGCATCATTTTATTAGAAACCCACAAGCCTGTGTCCTGCCGCTGTCCTGGGCTCCCTTCCTTTGGGACAGGAATGAGGTTCTCCGAGGCTCAGGGATTCTGGGCTCTATTCCTGCCTCTGGTCACCAGCCAACCGCAGTGCTTGGCATCCTGATGCTGTTCTGCTTCATGAAGGACTTTCATGTGAGGCCATTTAATATGCATCACAACCAACCATTTTAACACTTAAAATGTTTTTAAAATTTATCTTTATTGTTGAAAGTATTTCAAACGTCTCCTTGTTTTCACATTGATTCCCTCCACCCTGCACGCCCCCCCCCCCAGGCATTCATCACACTATTGTGTGTCCATGGGTTATGCATAAGTGCATATAAGTTCAATATGTTTTTATAGATTTTAGAGAGAGAGGAAGGGAGAGGGAGAGAGAGACATCAATGTGAGAGAGAAACATTGATAAGCTGTCTCCCGCATGTGCCCCGACCAGAGACCAAACCAGCAAACTGGGTAAGTGCCTTGACCAGGAACTGGTGACCCTTCAGTGCATGGGATGACGCTCAACCAACTGAGCACCACCGGCCAGGGGCAGCCAACCACTTTAAGTGAGAAAATTAGTAGAAAGTGGCAGACACTTGCTCACAGCTGACTGCAGGCTTCTGATGTCACACTTTACAGTCCTCGTGGCCTTAGACAATGACCCAGCGGCCCTGCCACAGGCAGCCACTCCCTGTGAGGAGAGCGCTTGTGACATCCCGTATGGGGTGGCGTCACAGGAGTTTCCCTGTGCATGTGAGGATGTGGCTGGGAGTTACACACGTACTGAGGTCCTTTTTTCTGGTTTTGATATTTAACTATAGTACACAGGGCCTCTCATTACTATATTTGCAGCTTGTTATGAGTCTCTAGTTATTTCAACATTAAAAAAATCAATGTCAGGACATTTTAGGAAGAAGAATAAATCAGAAACAATTCTTAAGGAATACCTAGATATTCTATAACCATGGAGATCTCTGAAAAATCCACTCATAGTTATTAGTTTCACTGAAGTTTGTTAAATTTCCATTTAAGTGAAAACACCAATTGACCAACTTTTTCCCCCCCCAAGATGGTCCACTTATCTAATCTAATAATAGAGGAATATGCAAATTTGTCTGTTACAGCGTCACAGGTCACGACTGGACCAACAGGCTGCGTCCCTGCCTTCTGCTCAGGCAGCTGCAAGGCCCGGGGTAGGATAGGATACACTAGGAGGGGAAGGAAACTGCATGCGGAAGGGGGTGGCA